CCGGGGGGTTCTGCCATCCCACCCTCCTCCAGCCTTGCGGGGGGAGGGGCTTATAGGGGGTGGATTCTGGGGTGTTTGAGGAGGGGAAAGAGGGGGGATTTGGGGACCTCCCAAGGGCTCAGGCACCTTCTCTCATTCTCTGTTTTGTGTGTTTCTTTGTCTCCTTCTGCAGGTGATGAAGACCATAAACTCCATGCTGCTGCACAGGGTCATCTGCCTAGGAGACATGGGCTCCATCGTGGCTGGATTTGCTATGCTGGGCTTCCCAACTGTGGAGGGGCCCTAGATGGAACCCATATTCCTATCCGAGCACCACAATATCGAACCGCCCAATACATCGACCAAAAGGGCTATTTCTCAGTGGTGCTGCTGGCCCTGGTCAACCACCATGGGTACTTCATAGAAATTTTCGTTGTGTGGTCGAGGAGGGTGCACGATGCCCACATTTTCAGAAATTCCAGCTTCTACAGGAAGCTGAAGGCTGGCACATTCTTCCCCCAGCATGACTTCGGGATTGGGGACATGCAGATGCCACTGTGCATCGTGGGGGACATGGCCTACTGCCTCTTGCTGTAGCTTATAAAGCCATACAGTGGCCACCTGGAACCCAGCAGGGACCGATCCAATGCTCACCTAAGCAGGGCCCATATTCAGATGGAATGTATCTTCCGGCACCTGAAGGTGTGGTTCAGGTGTTTCCTGACCCGCCTCGATGTGGGGGAACACAACATCTCCGAGGTGATCTCACCCTGTTGTGTTCTGCACAACATTGTGGAGAGGAAGGGGAGGCCTTCCTACTGCGGTGGGAGGCAGAGGCTGGCTGGGAGGGAAGGGTCTTCAAGAAGCTGCGGACAGCTGCCATCCACCAGGCCCATCAGGTGGGGGTGCGCATACAGAAGGCCCTGAGGGAGAGTTTCTCTGAAGGACCCCAGTAGCTCTCCCCAGGGCCTCCCCACTAGGGCCTATGCTTTGCCTTCCTATGCCTTTCCCACAACAGCCTGGCCCTTCGCCCCTTCTCTGTACAGTCAATAAAAACAATGGTTTTGTTTTCAAAACATAACTTTGTATTTTCTTTTCCAATAATTGCAACTGGAGAGGAGCGGGTCTCAGAACCTGCATAGGGGCAGGGAGGAGGGGAGCTCGGGGCTGGGAGTGGCACATGGTGCAACTGGAAGTGCCGCCTCAGGTCCAGGGACCTCAGCAAACTTAGGACAATGGGGGTGGAGGGCTGGAGCAGGGTCAGGCATGGCAGGGGGAGGTGGCATACACGTGGCAAGGGGAGGGAGCATAGACATGGTGGAGTAGTAGGGGAAGCAGGAACAGGGACAGGAGCCAGGTGTGCCATTATCTCTCAGATGTTTTGGCCCAGATTGCACCAGCTCAGTCTGCCATTGAGTGTTCTCCCGGACCTTCTGGACCAGGGTCTGTTGCATGTCCTGGAGGATGGCCACATGCTCTCTCATCAGGTCCTCATGGACCTCTGGCACCTGTGGTCAGGTGGCTGCCTCGGCTGGCGGTGATCACCCCTCAGTGATGGCTAGTCTGGTTGTGGAGAATAAAGAGGGAGAGGTGGTCAGTCATCCATACAGACACTGTCCCTGAGGCCGTGCCCTCCTCTGTGAGCTGTGAGCAATGGTCCTTGGGCCACAAGACAGTGATGTCCCAGGATCAAGGCCATGTGTGGCCTGCACAGAGGATCCTGCCTCACAGAGGCCTCAAGATGTCCAGGGGACCGTGCTTCCCATCCCCACCCCTGTGATCCTCAGACAAGCAGGCAAGAGAAGTGTCTGGCCACACTGGTATCCCATAGGCAGGGGCCTGGAGCAGCCTGGCTTTCCATAGGGGTCGCACACACACCTGCACCTGGTAGTGCTGTTCGCGGGAATGGGTGGTGCCTCGCATGTGGAGACATGCCCGTGTGCGGCACTCCTTAGTCTGTGTGTGGCTGTGCATATGCCCTTGTCCCCAGCCTGCTTCCAGCGGTGGCTGGTGGTGGGAAGGCGTTCCTGCCCTCAAGGGTCAGACGTGTGTGTGGCATCCTCAGAGCCTGGAAGTAGGAGCCTGGGGGTGCTCCGGGGCTGCCTCCTGGGCCGCATGGTGCAGATTGGCGCTGCATGTGCTTCCACATGTGTGGAGTGCAGCACAATGTTAGGCTGAGAAGGCCAAGCGAAAGTCGCCCCTCAGCCCCTTGTCGCCCACCTCCCCTACCCTGTGTGTGTGAAGAACTGAGAGCACTCACTTGATAATCCCTCCCCACCCTCGGAGGATAGCTGTGAGACATCCAGGCTCTGGGGTACTGGCTCGAGGCTGAGGTGATGGTGCTGGATGTCTCCTCCTCCTCCTCCTCCTCCTCCAGCTGGTCATCTTCCTCCTGGCCTGGGAGGCCCAGAGGGGCAACAACGGGCGTCTCCAGCCCTGAGTTGACGACCAGGAGTGGGGAAAGGGACTGAACCACCCCCCAGGATGCGATGGAGTTCTGTGTAGCAGGGGCAGGAATGGGGTCCTGACCTGGAGTGAGAGCTATGCTCCCTGGCCCTGGCGTACCTAGTGGAACTCCTTCACCTGGCTCCTTATTTGTTCGAGGTTCCCTGAGGTGGTGGCCCCTTGTGGCCAGAGCCTTATATGTTGCTGGTGTGCTGTCGGGAGCAGAGATCCTAGAGGGTCTCCTCCTCGCCCCACACCTCCAGGAGGGACAGGATCTCTGCACCAGACCACAATGGCAAATGCCTCTTCTGGCTCCTGGCTTAGTCCTGGGCGCCCTGGTCATGCTCCCTGTGAGGACCAGAGAGGTCTCGGTGGGCTAGTGGCTGAGCCATAGCTCAGCAGCAGTGTGGCAATTAGAGCTGTGCAGTGAGAAGCAATTCTGCTTCCTGCCACAAGGTTTGGCCCTGGTGCCTGTGGCTTTAAGAGGTGGCAGGAGACAGGAACTAGAGAGTTGTGATGAGTTTGGACGGATTGGTCACCAGGGAACCTGTGTTATTGCCTGGAAGCCTCTTTTTTCGAAAGAACTCCCTCTTCCAAATCCACATATACCTTTTTCTGAAAAAGCTTTTCAGAAAAGGCATTTTTCCTCGTAGAAAGAGGTTTACCAGTGTCAGAAAAACCCCTCCGTTCTTTTGCCTTTTTGTTGAAAGAACGCAATAGCAGTGTGAATGCAAGTGTTGTTTTTCCGGCCATTATTCCGGAAAAACACTGCAGTGGTGATATACCCTAACAGTTCTAATTATGAGCAGTGCTTTGATGTGCCAGGCATGGTACAGTTTGAACCTCTCTAGTCTGGCTTTCTCTGGTCCAGCAACATCTGTGGTCTAGCATGATGTTAGTTAGCCAGATGTCCGCTTATCATGGGTATGGCCAAGTTTCCCAGAGACCCATAAAATTGGTTTATAGCCACCTGTCCTGGCTCTTGGGGTTCTGTGCTGTTACTTAGCTCTAATTTACCCCAAATGTCTTCCCAGTAAGCAGTGGAAGTGTTGGTAATGCTGCTGGACAATATTGACCTCCCGCGGTCCAACAAATTCTCTGGTTTGGCACCGGTTAGGTTCCCAGAGTGCCAGACAAGAGAGATTCAACTTCTATAAACCTACTCAATGTCAATTCTTACTCTGATTTCAAGATCTAGTATGAGGCCTTTGCTGTCCAAATGATGGTTTACTTATACAGTTCCAGAATTGCTCACTGAATACAACTAGAAACATCAATTATATATCAGATTATGTCTTCTGATCAAATTTGCAGCTCTTGAAGTCTGAGGAACACTAACCCTAAAGATCACAGCACCTTAATAGACTGCTCTGGACTGTTGTGTGGAAGTTGAATGATATCAGCAATTTGATTATGAAAATGAAAACAACTCCGTCCTTGGCATCACTGAAGTGAGCTCAGTAAAGTGTCATACAAGGACAGAGAGCCTTAGTCAGGATGTCACTGAATTTTGGAGTTAGTACACAGGCAAGAGTGGCTCCCCCCCACCCACGACGCATGCATGGCTCCACCCTGGGCGTGTGGCACCTGATTGCAGCTCTAAGGGGCGCCGCATGGCCAGGCGCATGGAGCCCCTTGCAGCTGCTATCAGGCACCCCCCATAGGTTGGCACCTCGGGCAGCTGCCGGCTAGCGCACACCCCCCCTTAATCTGGCCCTGGCAACAGGTTCAGGAGAGGCTCCTGAGAACTTGGCTAGTTATTTAGTATCTGCAGTCCTGTCACTTCACAAGGAGGTAAACACCAGGCCTGTAGATAACAAAACGAAACAGAATTTTGTTGAAAAAAATGTGTATTGTGCCTTATCTCATGTACCTGCACAACCATTACTTCCCTATCTGGCAGCAAAACTAGCTGGGCCATTGCCAAAGGCAGTGTTTAGCAAAAGAACAACACAAGCCTGTGAAAAGCATGCATAAGTGCTCATATTCACCGCACTTGAAAAAAACTCAAATCAAAATAGTATTCAAGCTGTTCATGACTCTGGAAGAATTGTTGGATAGCTGCAGAGTGTTGCAAAGAGCACTGCAAAAGAAATTCTTACCTGAGCTTGGGCTCGAGCTGCCCACCCATCAAAAATTGTGGTCAATAATTTGTTATACAGGCAGTCCCCGAGTTACGCGGATCCGACTTATGTCGGATCCGCACTTACGAACGGGGCTTTTCTCACCCCGGAACTCGCGGGCGGCGGGACCACCCAGATGCGCAGTGGTCCCACCACCACATCCTCCGGGGGGAGAAAAGCTGCTCCGGGGGTGCCTGGTCTGCTGGGG